TATTAGTATTGTATTTAACCCTATGACGATGAGTGGCTGACGGTATCTTTGATTTATGAACGTGCAATGCCGAGAGGCATATCTCAGTTTGGGTGAAGGGATGTGTCATGAATTTGTTTTCGCGTATCTGTTGACCGACTTAATTAGCTGATTATTAGCGAATTGCTGTGTTATGTCTGTCATCGTTCAGGCCTATTTGAAGTTTTGGACGGAACTTGGCTCAGTGATTTGGAACTAATTACCAGATATCCGTCGCGATTCTGACAGTTTATATCCATAGTTATTAATGTAGTGAACGATTAATCAAAAGATATGACGTATTCAGTACTTAGTGTGATTGGCTTTATGATTGAAGGTTACGCCCTAGAGTCTTTTACTGTTTTGTAATTGGTTAGAGTTTTGAAAATGAATAAAGAGAGTTTGAGTTGGTCTTGGGGAGCACAGCACGATAGACGCAGAAGAGAAAGTGCAGTCCTGGAGAGTCGAGTCCAGTCCAGGGGCGAGCCTTGAGGCAGTCCAGTCTTGGGCGAGTCTTGGTTCAGCCTTGTGAGAGTCTTGGGGACTTTTCCCCAGGGCGCTGTGTCTAATAGAGTGCTCCAAAAGATCGACTAAGACGAGAGCTGAAACGTATTTCGTTGTATGTGCCTTATTTGACTGTAAAGTTAAAGTGACTTTCCCGATCCCGTACCTCAAGGGGACGAGATAGAGAGACGAGACGAGTTTCCCCCCTGGCAAGTGTGGAGAACACCGAGAGAAGAGAATTTCCCCCTGATAATACCACGTGGAATGAATTGGCACTATTTGTTTCCAGCAACGATTTTCTGAGCAAATCGCAATGACTGCTTTCCGAGTTCTTTGCGAAGTAGAAAATTCATGCCATTGTTGTAAAATATTACACAGGGCAACTGAGAGCGTTTTGAGAGCATTAAACTCAATAATTTTACGTCACTCACTAATGCCTAGAATCTATGCTGTATTACTCAATATACCTCAACCACTAAAAGCCTAGAATCTATTCTGTGTATTACTCAATATACCTCACTCACTAATGCCTAGAATTTATGCTGTGTATTACTTAATATACCTCACCCACCAATGCCTAGAATCTATTCTGTGTATTACTCAATATACCTCACTCACTAATGCCTAGAATCTATGCTGTGTATTACTTAATATACCTCACCCACCAATGCCTAGAATCTATGCTGTGTATTACTCAATATACCTCACCCACTAATGCCTAGAATCTATGCTGTGTATTACTCAATATACCTCACTCACTAAAGCCTAGAATCTATTCTGTATTACTCAATATACCTTAACCACTAAGGCCTAGAATCTATTCTGTGTATTACTCAATATACCTCATCCACTAATGCCTAGAATCTACGCTGTATTACTCAATATACCCCACTCACTAATGCCTAGAATCTATGCTGTGTTTTACTCAATATACCTCACTCACTAATGCCTAGAATCTATGCTGTGTATTAATCAATATACCTCACTCACTAATGCCTAGAATCTATGCTGTGTATTACTCAATATACCTCAACCACTAAAGCCTAGAATCATGCTGTGTATTACTCAATATATTTCACTCACTAATGCCTAGAATCTATGCTGTGTATTACTCAATATACCTCACTCACTAATGCCTAGAATCTATGCTGTGTATTAATCAATAAACCTCACTCACTAATGCCAAGAATCTATGCTGTGTATTACTCAATATACCTCAACCACTAAAGCCTAGAATCTATGCTGTGTATTACTCAAT